TGATCCCTCCAAGAGGTTGGAACTCCTACGATGCATTTAGCTGGGTCATTTCCGAAGAAGAATTCTTACAGAATGCAAATATAGTTTCTCAGAAGTTACTTTGTCATGGATATGAGGTGTTGTATTGCAATCTCATACTCTGAATATGTTTAGTAATGAAAAAACTGTGTGTAACATTTCCTCTGAAAGAATGCAGTATGCTGTTGTGGATTTCCTCTGGTACAGGAGTCTGAAGGGTGACAAAAATTCTATTGATTTTGATATGATTGATGAATGGGGAAGAATGCTCCCTGACACTGAAAGATGGCCTTCTTCGGGAGGAAGAAGAGGGTTCACTGATGTAGCTAACAAAGTGCATAATATGAGTTTGAAGTTTGGGATTCATCTTATGGCTGGAATCAGTACACAGGCATTCAATCATAACACGCCAATACTAGATACAACTACGGTATATTGCTTCTCCATCATCTTTTCATTCTTCTACTACATTCCAACTCCATGATATCTTATTTAAAACATAAACTTAATTCTACACTTGGATAAAAGATAATTGATTCTAGTTTGATAAATTTTTGTAATATTTAAACTAAGTATTTTTAATTACAATTTAACTAATTAATTATCTTTAGTTTTTATCCTCAATTAATATAATATTAAATTAACAAATATCTCACCCACTCCAAGTTGAAATAGAAAAACGTAAGTAGTTTGGTTTTTAATAAAAAAATGTCGATATTTAAGATTTTCTATGTAAAAAAGATTTTAATATAAATAGTTTTTTTTTTAATCAAAGTGCATGTTTGAAAACTGATAATCTTAACGTAAATAAACAATTTTAAATATTTTGATTTTCGATCTAGGATATTAATGTCATAATAAAAAGAGATCAAAAGGTGAATAATGAACTATAACAGTATGATGTTAGCATGATAAAATTTAAATTTGAATTTTTATGTCAAAATTCTATAAGGCTCTTATAAAAGAACATTTTGATTTTGATTCAAAATTTATATACTATCATCCTTATACTATATCTCTTTATAGGCTAAATTTATCAACAACTCTGACCCTATTGACTAAAAAACATGGCCTACTAATTACTCAATTACTTCTCACTGGATAGTCTTTATTTTCACTAATTTTGATCTCCAATCATAACTTAGGCTTATGATAATTCAACCCANTATTAATATAATATTAAATTAACAAATATCTCACCCACTCCAAGTTGAAATAGAAAAACGTAAGTAGTTTGGTTTTTAATAAAAAAATGTCGATATTTAAGATTTTCTATGTAAAAAAGATTTTAATATAAATAGTTTTTTTTTTAATCAAAGTGCATGTTTGAAAACTGATAATCTTAACGTAAATAAACAATTTTAAATATTTTGATTTTCGATCTAGGATATTAATGTCATAATAAAAAGAGATCAAAAGGTGAATAATGAACTATAACAGTATGATGTTAGCATGATAAAATTTAAATTTGAATTTTTATTCAAAATTCATATACTATCATCCTTATACTATATCTCTTTATAGGCTAAATTTATCAACAACTCTGACCCTATTGACTAAAAAACATGGCCTACTAATTACTCAATTACTTCTCACTGGATAGTCTTTATTTTCACTAATTTTGATCTCCAATCATAACTTAGGCTTATGATAATTCAACCCACTTAATCAAAAAATTAAAAAATCTAAAAGAAAATATGATGGGGTGAAACTTTTTTTTCCTTGCAGATAACATTAGTGTTTCAATGTCATAGGTTTATTTATGTCCAAAACATAATCAATATTATTTTAAAAAATAAACTAAAATGACATCAATAAAGATATAAAGTACTAATAATAGGAAAAATATATTTTCGTAGATTATTTTATAAGATTTTGACACAATACTGATTCATTATTTATTTGTTTGACATACTCTAAATCCAATAAAAAGATTACACATGTATTTTTATCAAAATATTCTCAAAAAATTATATTATTGCCCTTAATAATAATACATGCAAAATAGTATAGCCTTACATTTTTAATAAACGCTTCTTTTTATTTTAATTAACAATTCTTTTAGTCATACAATTTTCGGTTTAACACGTATATCTATATAAACATTATAAAAATATATAAATTCATAAATATGACAATATAATTTAAAAATAAAATATTGGTGTATAATATACCGGTCAATTTTATTTGAACATATTTTTCTGCTTTTGAACCTTACCAGGGACAACCTTACATGGAATCTGGTCGAGTGTGGTACGCGAAAGACATTGGAATCCCATCAAGGGCTTGTAGATGGATGAATAATGGTTTCATGGCTATAAACACAACAACAGGAGCTGGAAAAGCCTTCCTAAGATCAATTTATGAGTTATATGCTTCTTGGGGAGTTGATTTTGGTATTCAATCCACTATAATACATTCTTCTTATCATGTTTGTACTATCACAAATTATGCAACACATTCATTTCTTACAGTAGATCGTGCATTTTACTTTCAGCTTTGACACATTTATACGAATTTTCTGCTTTGATCTGTTACAGTGAAACTAGATTGTGTATTTGGTGAGGACCTGGATTTGGGTGAGATAACATATGTATCAGAGGTATACTGCAAAATTTTAAAAGCCAAGACGTGGAAAACATTTCCTCATTTAAGTTACATTGTATGCAGATTCTGAATGGCCTTAACAATTCCATTGCATTTTCTTTGTCTCCTGGAGTCAGTGCAACACCAGAAATGGCTGAGATGGTTAGTGGTCTAGTTAACATGTACCGTGTAACAAAAGATGACTGGGATAAATGGCCAACAATCTTATCTCATTTTAATGTATCAAGGTATTTGATAAAATGCCATCCAATGTTTGACTTCAAAACATGTCAATTTCTCTTCAAAATATGTCAATCTTCGACATTTTTCATTCGTTTCATTTACCTTTCAGAGACTTTGCCGCATCTAATTTAACAGGAGCAAAAGGTTTAAAGGGACAATCTTGGCCTGATTTGGACATGCTACCATTTGGATGGCTAACTGATCCAGGTTAGCCTAAATTCCCTTGCATTTCTACTTTTTCCTTGATTCATTAGGATCAATGCATAATAGTTTTCTAATTTACATTCAGTGAGTTTTTTTGTTAGATGTTTAAGAATATAAAGTACAAAAACTTCTTTTTTTCTGTTTTGTTTTTCCATAGACGCTCATGAAGGTCCACACAGGTTTACTAACCTTACTCAAGATGAGAAAAGAACTCAGGTACATATGCAAAAGCACACAGCATAATTGAATTACTGTATATTGGAGAGAGGACATATATTCATGTAAAGTAATGAATTCTAAGTGGTGTTATTCTCATCTCACAGATGACTTTGTGGTGTATGGCAAAGTCTCCCATTATGTATGGAGGGGATCTACGGAACATTGATCCACAGACCTATGATCTTATCACAAATCCTACCCTTCTGGAGATAAACTCTTTTAGCTCAAACAATCAGGAGGCACGTGAAAAATTTCTTGCTTTTTCTTTTGCAATCAATGTTTCTTAAATCTTACACTGGCACTGTTTCTGCTTTTTTTATGTAGTTTCCTCATATCACAACATTAGATGGTGCCAAGACCGCAGGACACAATGTCACAAAAGTACAGTCTACTTACTCCAATCTTGCAGCTGAAGGTTATCCTGATGGAGTTAGATCTTGGATTGCAACTGGAAGAAACGGTTCGTCTTAACGATAACTAAATTAAGAAACTACTAAAAGTTTTGTCCAACTAACATTAATTGTTGTTTTGGTTTTGGTTTCTTTCAGGGGAGGTCTATGTTGCTTTTTTCAATCTAAATGATGGGAAAACAACAATATCTGCAAACATAGTAGACCTGGCTATTGTGCAACCAGGTGGAAGCATGTTGAGACTTTGCTGGGGAATCGAAACATGGAGTGAAACATATGTAACAACGAATGATGCATTATCAGCAGAAGTGGCAGGTCATGGAAGCGCATTGTTTGTCCTTCGTTGCTTTTAAAATTTGGCATCAAATCTTATTTCAATATTTATATTTTCATATTTCAACTTCAATCGATGCTTTTAATTTAGCAAATATTTTGTTCGACTATACTTCTATTAAAAACACAAATCAAATGTTTATATAATCTCATGTAAGAAATTCTTGACTTTGTGAGAAAATCGAACAAAGCTTGGAATTGAAAGATCAAAGAACCTATTGTTTTCTTCAAAAATGTGTTAAAATTGTTTTTTATATATATGTATGGGCTTTGGAAAATCCCCATAGGACTATTGGACTCACTTACTTGGCCCAACGGACAATTTCTTTTACTATCCCGTTATTTCTTCCTACAGCTCCATAAGTGTGAAAAAAATCCAAATTATCTATATATCAGGATATTTTATATTACATAATCCGAAAATAAATTTCAAATATTATACAATCTGAATATATATTTTATATCATATAATATAAAATACTTTTCTAAATTACATAATCTAAAAATATGTATTGTATAATATGAAACACGTTTCTGGATGACGTAATATAAAATTTAAAATATATTTTTGAAATAAAAAATGAATTTCAAATTATGTAATTTGAGACATATTTTCGAATTATATGTTCAAAATATTTTCTGAATTATACAATCTTAAACATGTGTCTAAATCCTACAATTTACAAATTTAAAACATGATTATTATTTGTTTATTCTGAAATGGGATGAGGATAATCCCTTGTGTTGAATCCGTACCGTTCGGGATTAACTTGCAGAAGACACTCTAACGCTCAAGTCAGATTTTATCTCCGTAGATCTTTCTTAATTTAATTATTTGTCCAAAAAGTCCTTTTACCTCGAAAGTAAACCCCTATTTATAGAGTTCAAAGGAATCTGACCAATTAATTTACCTCTTAATGATTATTAATGCAAACCCTAATTACTTAATAGTAGCCGTTGTGACATTAATTGCGTCTTAACTCTGTTCAACGGTTGTCAGAACCAAATGATTGTGGAACGCTTTCTTGGACATCCACCCGCTGGGTTTAAATGCGCCTTAACTCTGCAATTTGTCATCCTACAGATCCGCTAGCTTCAGGCCATAGTAACATTATTGTTTTTTTACTTTTTCAAAACCCATTGAAATGAAGAAACAGAGGTAGGAAAAAAATAGTCAGCCAAATGAACATTGCCTGATTTCAAGAACTTTGATGCTATTGGACTAGTTATTTTCAATTTTCATTCTTATTGTCATTGATTTACATCTGACTTTACAAAATAATAAATATTTTAAAAATAAAAAGTAACAAAAATATAAGAATGTTAGAGTGAGATGCGAAAACACTACTTGAAATAAAATATCATATAAAATGTTAGAACTCAAATTACAAAAGAATGTTTATTTACCATACATTGGTAATATGTTACAACTCAAACAAGATAATAATGAAATAGGTGGTAAGTGGTTCCATTTTTTCCATGGAAATTGAATGTGTTTCTCTTTCACATGTGTTGACGAATGCAAAGTTGGTTGATTTTACTTAGCATTTGGGTGTCAAGTTTGTGCATAATATGTTGGTGGCTTCATGCCAAAGTTTGACCATTGTGGCCATGGAGTGCTTTTAAAATTCTATGACCCCACTATGGTTACTGTTGTGACCTTCAAAGTCAATGATTATTATCACTCTTCATGCACCTATTCGCCTATTCTTCTTCATTCAAAGTTTTTTGCATGCAAGTTACCCCTTCTTGCTATGTTATGTTAATACAAAGAATCAGAATATTTGTGGCCAAATTCCAGGAAAATAGCACAAGCTTGAGTGCAATTTTCATGCTATTCGTATTATTTCCTCTCTTTTTAGTCAAAGGTGAACAAATTCCTTTCAAGTGATATTAATGAATCAAATTAATGTATAAAAATAAAATTTTAAAAATTTATTGTTAAAATTTTGAGTTAGAAGTGATAGTTTAATATCTATTGTAGCATTTTGTTTTCCTTGATAGGGAACATATGCAAGTGCATGGAGGAAGGAATATGTGCTTTAGATTGATTATTTGACCATATCTTCTTACCTTTGCTTGATACATTGAAAATTCTGAGTGCTTCTTCCCAAATTTATTCCTTGTTTGACCTTATTTCTTTGTTGCCCAATGGAAGGGAAAATAAATTTCTTCACATCATTGTGTTCTATATTCCTGTATTGGAAATTGTGAGGATGAGAATCATGAGTTTTATTGTTTAGGAATAGTCTATTATTAAATGTTACAAATTATTGTTAATTTATTTATGGTTTGTTTTAAATAATTGAGTTTTCCAATATTGAATTGGAGGAAAAGAATTGATTCACAATATTTTTATTTATTTATTAATTTTGATCTATATTATGTGTATACTGCCTTTTCAATTAATATAAAATTGTTTTAGATTAATTAATGGTGTGTGGTAAAAATTTCAAATTTATAATCATATTAAATATTTAAACTGCTATCTAACACTTTTGTAATAATCTTATTTACTTTAGTATGTTTTTTTTTCCGTTGCCTAAAAATATCACTCCTGCGAATTAAAAGTGATCATGGGCTTTTTTTTTTGGTCTGGTCCAGGTACTATAAACATGAAACATACGATTAACTCGTTTTTTATTCAAATGCTAGAGATTTTAACTGGTGAATTCAATTTGATTCTTACAATATGAATTATAATAGTATATTATTTTTAAAACTTAAGTGAGAAAGTTTTTAAAATTAAAAAAAAAATACATTTTTTAAAATAAAAGAAATGTTTGTATATAATTTTAAAAAATTGAGATATGTTATAGGACTTATTTGTTCATCTTTATAATATAATTTAAAAAAAAAAACATTGTCTATCTTGCATTAATCTAAAATATGAAATTAAATATAGCAATGTCAAAGAAACATAATTAGTTCAATCATTTTAAACAATTTTAAGAACTAAAATGTTGTTGGAATCGAAATTACATTATATCATCAGACAAAATAAACTTAAAAGTTAATTACTAAATATTTAAATATGTGTCATCAATTGTTGTCATATTTGTAATATATTATTTTTGGATAATGAGATTGAATCGTGTCAATTATCATAAATATAAATGGTAAATGGGGTGTCAAAGTAATAAGAATGTCCCCAATATAACAGAAACTAAACATACCAATTAGGTATTTCAATTTCTTAAATTTATGTAAATAAAAAAACTAAAAAGTTATAAAATAATTAGTATGTAACTAAAATATTCATAACTCTATCACTGTTTGGATTAAAAGTATTATTCTGATATTTTATACCAATTTGTTCAATGTTCATTTAAATAAAATCTCAAAAGAAAATACACATATATCTATCTAGCATTTATATGTTAGGCTAAAAACTCTTTTATATCATTCTTACAAGTAAATTTAAAATAATTGTTCGTAATATACAAATTAAAGCCAAATAATATTATAGAAGAATTTTGAATGTGACATTTAACTTCTTGATTGAAAAATGTTGCTGATTACTTGACCTTCATCAATTTACATGAAAATGTTTTTGACCCTTTAGAAACCAACTCATGTTTTTGTTTAACATGCTTGTCGTACACGAGTCTCACTGTCGGCTTTTATTTATTTTTAGTATGACTCTCTTGCAACCACTACTAAATAATTAATAAGTCATGCAAATTATAAAAATTATTAATTAAAATATTGAAACAAAAATTTTAAAATTGAATTTCACTTCCTAGTGTGTATAACACTAGTATCTATCTTCAAAGGAGAAAAAAAAACATAACAATTTAAAATCAGTTTATTTTGGAAAAAAAAAGTTATCAACTAAACCACTGAACTTTTACATGTACGTTTTTTCTCTTTTTCTACAGTCTTTATTTTATATATTTAAATTTTTATATTAGTTAAAAATATAAACTGATTGGTTTTGTATGTTATTTTTTCCATTGTAATAAAATAATTTAAATAGCGTGGTATATATGTAGTCAACAACACTCTCTATGCCTTGTTGCACAATTCATGATTATTGTTGACTCGTTATCTTTATATTTGACTATTAAATATGACGTCACAAACAAGATTATTTTCTAAATAAAAGACTATCAGCATTTTAAAGTTTCCATAAATAATAAAACATCTTAAGTTTTAAATGCATATTTTTTGTACCTTATGCTGAAAAGATGGATGAGTGTTGAATGAAACAATAATGCGTTTTAATACTCAAAAGAAATATTTTCATAATAATTAATTTTAATAACAAAAGTAATAATTTAGATATTATTTTTAAATTAGAAATTATTGATAATTTAAATATTTCTAAGAAATTATAATTAATTTCTATAAATTAGTTTTAAAATTAGTCATTAATATTAATTATCAAAATTTTGATTAAAAAATTATTTTTAATTAAAAAATAATTTTTAAATATATTTTTATACTAGAATTAATTATTATTTAAAAATTTTCTTGTAATTTTCTTATAGTATTATTTATATTTAACTTAAATTACAAAAAGAATGAATCAAGTTCTTACTCATTAAGTAAATAAATTTAAAGTACATTTTTTTGTGTTACTAAAAAATAAATGAATAAATATCTAAACAAATACCATACAAAGATATCTAAGGTAAGTTCCGTGGGTGACAAAAAATTATTAGTTGTATTAATAAAACTTCTATATATATAACAATTAAAATTCTATATTAATAAAATACTAATAACCATTACTATCTAAAAATAAAATAAAATAAAAAAACTTTTAAGTTAAGTATTTGATCCCAACAATTTTTATTCATGTTTTATCTTTATTAATTTTTTTCATTGAGCTTTTCTCCAATTAATTTCTTAAGTTATTATTTTCTCATTAAATTTCGTGCGTTATTGTTTAGTTCATGTGTTTTTATGATAATTTCACTTTCCAGTAATACTAATTTCTAGCTGAGAGATGAAGAGGAAAAAAAAAATTAAATACTACTTCTATTTTTTTCTATGAAATAAAGAGAAAGATAAATTTTCTTCTCTATTACTAAAAGAGTCAGATCACTTTTCATCTTGTTTTGTCTCTCCTGTTATTAAATTGACTATGTTATTAAATTGACTAAATTTGTACATTAACGACAACATCACATGAAAGGACATATTAAAAAAATAATAAAAAATATAATTATCCAATA